ACACACACTTCTGATTTTTTGCTTTAACTTTTAATCTCTGAATTTTTATTTTGTACGTCCTGACTTTGACCTGGGCGATAACCAGGCAGCGCAGTCAGATGTCACAGAGGCCGATGTCGTTGAAAAAGGCAAGAAGAGAAGGCTTCAAACAGTAACTCCACCCCCTGCGTTCATCATCACACCTCAGCAGGTCGCACTCTGATGGAGGATACCTGTTTCACCAATCACATTCATTCACTGATCTGATTTCCACGTCTCCTTTGTCAGGCTGTGGGACAGGAAGCTTTAAACTGGTTCCATTTAAAGTCTCAGAGCTCTAATGTGCAGCTATCACCTTAGAAACAAGCAGTCCAACTGAGCATGCTCAGACACAAAATCATTCACTGCAGTTCAAATCGTATGTTACCTCTCTGTGCCACAAATGAATGCAGAGGGCCCATATTAACAGAGAAAGTTGATAACCACAGTAGTTTTATAAGACGAGCCAACTCAAACAAAGCCTGACATTGATAAACTTCCTGTGTGACCACGACCCTCTGATCAACTTCCTGCTAATAAAAATAAAATAAGCGCATTAAGTTTAGATATATTTTTTTAAACATTCAGCTGTTTGTTCATAAACACAAACAGAAATCAGGTGATCAGTCTCTCACTTCCGGAATAAACAAACCCACACTTACCACGTGACGGCGTTACGCACAGAGCAGTGTTGCACGTGGCGAGCAGCCCTAACACTCTCTACAGTTTTTATCACACAAAACATTTTATCAGTGAGCGAGCTGAACACAGAGGTCAAAGGTCAGAGCTCATCGCTCCCTGCACGTGTGATTCTCTCAGCACGTGTGATTCTCTCAGCTAGCTACCTTTATCTGTTAGCTAACCATCTCGAGCTGCGTCGATAAACCGCGCATATCTCTGCCTCATTTCAGCGTCTCCGTTATATCAGTTCACAAACAGCACCAATACACGAACACACACGCACGGGTTTTCACAGTTAAAGTCTTACCAGAACGGCAAGTCCGTTGTCTGACGCCATGTTTCCCAACCGAAGATCGTCTACGAAGCCAAGATGGACCACTGTCAGAGACTTCACGCATGCGCAGTGTCTTGCGTGGGTCCCAGCGACGCATCAACAGTGACTCTTCACCTTTTTTTACGATCTCTGATCTCAACTTTAACACCGTGTCACGTCACAACATTTAAAGGGCCACTTTATCTTTATTTAATTTTAAATAAATTAAATTTAGAGAAGTCCAAAGAGGGTAAAATGAAAAAAATGAGTGACAAAAGGAAAAAAAAAATATTTACTGCCCTCAAAACCAAAAACAGTGAATTGTTATTTTTTACTTAATTATTAAATTTAATCAATAACAATTAAACAAATAAAACTGAATGAAAAGTATATAACATTATATGATAATTACTTTATTAAATTCATTGTGTAAATGTTATATTAAACATTTCTGTCTTTGTTTAAAATAACCATCAATGAGATTAGAAATTATATGATTGCTTATATATGTTTTTGTTAAAATAAATAAATAATTATAATCTGTCTTTGTTTCTTTATATCTAAATTAATTCCATTTATAACTATGTTTGTTACTGCTTGCTTTCATTTTTATATGGATCTAATTTTTATTTTTGATAATATTTTATGAATTTACTTCATATGTAATCTTGTGTTATCTTGTGCTCCTAAATGTAATGAACACGTGAAAATATTTAGTTAAATGTTTTATTTATCTAATTTATTTCATTTAAAGAAAATAAAAAATAACAGTGATCAATCTGAAGCAATTACTCACTAATACAGTCTGCAGTCTGTGCTGCCCCCCTGTGGTAACTGAGTGAATTTCATTTCTAGGTCCAAAACAGCTTGTGTTTTTTTGTTTTTTTTATTCAGAGTAACGTTTAAACGGATTTATGTTAAATCACAATATTATCATGGTAAACAGACATAAACAGGACCAATGAACTGAAAATATGATTACAGTAGTAAAATACAAAGACATTGACAAAGAGATTTAATTGTGGTTTAAAACGTTCAATGTTTCAGTCTCAGATCACATGATCTCATAATTTTGAATTATTATTATTATGTTATTTTCATTTTATGCTATAAAATTAAGAATTTGGATATCCTTACAGTTTATGAAAATTGTTTAAATTAAAAAAGTAATATCATTGAACCAAATGTTTTTTTTCCCCTAAAACCGCAATCTCAAAATGTGTAAATGTTGTAATTATTTTAAAATGTAATTAAGTTTTTTGTGATGATTAAAAATATTATTATGCTGTTATTTGACTCCTCAACTCTGAAGATGTGAGGTATAAGTGGTTATAAGAATTTTATAAAATAGGGCTGTCACTATATCACATGATAAAGTATTATGATATGTGTCTATGTATGTGTAAATATTACAAATTATAGAAAATAATAATAATTTGTCTAATTGTTTTTCAAATGAATCTATAATTACGTAATGTATGAACACTGATATTTAACATGTTATTGTTATTGTCAGTGCTGGTAGTATCTCACACCATCAGGCCAACATTTGGACATTTGATCTGAAAAATGTACCTGATGTAAATAAATAAATAAAATCCATATCCTCTGTAAATAAAAAATAATAAACTAAATAAAAACTTGGGAGTGGCTTTGCTGTTTTGGCAGACTTGGGCTTCCACAGTGGGTGGTACATTGTGCTGTCATTTTTGTAATCAGACGTAATATTTTCCCGTGTTAATCAGATAAAGAGTTCCCTCTGTTCACTGTAAATGTTTCTTGTTTAGTGTCTTTTTTGGTAAATCAGGTGAGGTTGGTGTTTTTTTCTGGCTCTTTCTGATTGGTTGGAGCATGAAGCTTCGGTTTCTCGGTGCTGAGCTCCTGTTTTTACGTATTTATGATTTTATTTAATGCGAACGTCACAAACGTTTCCTCCCCCCGCGGAGCTCCACAGTGGACCGACCCGGGCAACAGGAAAACATCCTCCTCCTTCTCCTCCTCCTCCGTCTGGGGTCACAGCAGCCCCCAGCCCGGGCTTTAAAACCAGCCAGCCGCCACATCCTCCTTTTTCTCCTCCCTCCACCCTTCCTCCTCCTCCTGTCGGGGCTGTGAGGACGGAGCGCCTCCTCTCCTCTCATCTCCGGTCAGCCTGATTCTCCTGCTCGGAGGTAAGATCTCCCTCTGTGCGCTTTTCTGTTTTTCTCGCGTCGCTGCAGACGCACTCGTCTCCTCCTCACCCTCCTCTTCCTCCGTGTAATGAAGCCTCAGATCGGCCACATGACCGCAGAGCTCCTTCATCCCTCCGCTGCACCTCAGCTCGGAATAAAAAACAGCGTCTCAGGTTCAGTGTGTGCGTGTGTGCGTGTGTGTTCGGGCCTCAACCGGCTCTGCTCCTCTTAGAGGAGGAAGGAGATCTGTCGGTATGATGTTTTGATGGAGGGGGGGGGGTTCTGTGAGATGTAGAAAATAAAGACAAATGATTATGATGAGGAGGTTTAAAGCCTCCTCCAGGAGGGGAGCAGCAGTTGCTTCAGTCTCTAAAACATGAGGGAATGATGAAAATGCTACTGCTGCTCCTGGAGGAGGCAGGAGGAGCTCAGCGTTTACCTCCAAACAGATTAAGAGGAGCTGCAGGTGTGTTTGGTATTTATGGCTCAGCTGTTGGTCAGAAAGTTACACCTGGCCCATTAGAGGCGAGCTGAGTCAGTCAGGGATTCATGAGGCTGTCTGAAGAGATAGTAGAACAGCTGCTCTTTGGGCCAGATGTGGTGATGATGTCAAAGCAGAGCTAACATCTGGGACATTTAAGGCTGCGCTGAAGCAGCCAGAACGCCAATCGTAGCCCAAACATCTGCCGCTGAGGACCAATCGTCATCATCGCTAACATTCCTCATGCTCTCAGAGATCCTGGACACCTTCTGAGAGCAGCTGCGACGCTCTGGCACTGATCAGTTCTATTATCGGTGATTAATCAGAGAAACTCGATCTGTTCAATCCACAAAATGTCAGAATCGGTGAAATGCTCTCTAACAGGAAGCTGGATCAGTCTCTGGAAGTCATTTACTGATCATCACTGAACTGTTGGAGTGAAGAGGCTTCTGGGATGGGAGCTGAAACATTTTCAGGAAACTTACAGAATTCCAGTCGATTTCTCCTAGCTCCTTAGATTTGAGCTGTTGATTCATCAGCTGATTGGTTTATTGGTTCTGGTTGTTTACGATCATGAGTCCAAGAGCTCCCAATAAAATCTGATCTCAGATTTTAGATGGAGAAGCTTTCAGTCAGTGCCTGGAATCTGCCAATCAGGTTGGAGTTCAGGGTCAGACCTGATGTTCTCTGAGGCGGAGTGGTGATGACTCCTCTGATAGAGTCACCGTGGTGGATCCTTCTGAGTGTTTCTGTAGCTTCTCAGTTAGAAACCTTCCAGTGTTTCTCATTTGACTTGTATTTGGTCTGCAGTTGTTTTCATGATCTGATTCATTATTTGAGTCATTTTTCTGTTTGTTTTCTGTTCAGATGACACATTTGGACTTTTTTCTAACAGAAAACAAACAGAAAACCAGTGAAAGCATGGCTGACATGCTGCAGACCGTCTATGAGTTTCCGGCCTGTGTGCTGCTGGGATGTGAATGTGAGGCAGGCCGCTGCCTGGATCCACCCAGCGCCTGTAAAGTGTGTTTAAGTGTGTGTGTGCTTGGGCTAATGGCAGATAAAAGCTCTTAGTGATAAGACTATCAGCCACACAGAGCACTCGGCCTGCTGTCAGTCCTCAGAGACACTCAGCACAGTCAAGTAACCGAGTACTTTTACTCAGCAAGCTGCTGTAACTGCAGCCTCAGCTTCCTGCAGAGAAAAGCAGTGAAGAGTGATTTAAACCACGAGCTACAGAAATAAAACAATAAAATGTCCAAAAATGATCCCTGTTATTGAAAAATAAAAAAGAGCGCTCCAGAGGGCGTCCCTCCTGGAGCCTGTGTGTGGTATCTCCTAATTGTCCTTATTTCATTTGTATTTGATTGGGGGTTTTTTGGATTTCACAGTGGTGAAAAATCCTCCCAACAGTTTCTCATTACCAAACCGAGTGATTTCTATCCAAGTCCTGCTGGAAAAACCGACCTAATCCCCGAATCTGCTCAGTGCAAGAATAAAATGTCATAAAACATAATGAAGTGAAACTAAAGCAGGAAACATTAATAAAGAATAATTCATCAAAGCCAGCCTGCTTTTAGATGTTTCGTGTTTAAACATTTCACTTCCAGCTGCTCACTGTCCTCCATCCTTCAGACACGGCCTTCATCATTATTGTGCAAACACACTCAAGATACAGTCAAGGCGGCCTCACGTGGTTATTAGAGCAAATGTTATAAAATTACAATAAAACAACTAAAATGTATAAAAGCACCAAAAACAGTGATAACAGGAAACTGAGTCCACCTTAAAAGTTTAGGATAAATCATTCTTCATGTTATTAATGCTGTGTTATCCGGGGCCGGATGGCTGAGGCAGCAGCCTAAGCAGAGAAACCCAGACCATCCCTCTCTCTGGCCACCTCCTCCAGCTTATCTGGAGACACAATCTCTCCAGCATGTCCTGGGTACAGAGGAGGCCCCAGGAGATCTTACGTGCATTGTTCAAAGAAAACAGTGATGAAGAAACTGAAGCTAAAATCAGACGTGTTAAAAACCCTGGAAGGGCAGAGGTGAACCATCATCTCTGAGGTCACCGGAAATGTTTGAAACTGGATTTTTTTTTTAAATCAGGAAATCATTAGCAACAGTGTAGCCAATCAGAACAAGGAGTTTACAGGGAGAAGGTCACATGGGCTGGTCCAGATTTACCCTGCTCCAGAGCGAGGGGGGCAGCAGGGTAAGAAGTGATGCTCCCATTATGCCTCGGGCCTGTTGTACCAGCCCGTGTGGGCAGATCTGAGGTTGCTTCAGGTGGTCAAGTCGGAGGTCAGCTGACTGAGTTGAAGGAGGCTGGTTTCTCCTTTAGAGATTCCTTCTTCCTAATGGTACAGACGTACTCCAAAAAGATCAAGGTGGGATTTATCAAGTCCAACCAGAGATGACTTCACCCCATGGTCTGACTCCATCATTACCAAAAAACGAGCAGAAACAGGAACAAATTCTGTGAGCTCATCAAAACAAAGCCATGGCCACCATTAAACTTCAGGGCCCCCCCTCCCCTGGGTTATGGTAGATGGGCCCTCCTCCCTGAACCTGGTTTCATCCAGTTAAAGGGGAGTTTCTCCTTTTCACCATCGGCAAGTAGGTGTTCATCTGATTGTTGGTGTTTTTACCTCACGGTAGCTCTTTGAGGCAGCCATTGCTTTGATTTGGCGCTGTATAAATTGAATTAAGGAGCTCGTTAACAGAAGCAGGTGTTTGCAGCAGGTTTCTTCTCGGCCTTTAAGATAAATTAAAGCTGCTGGATGAGTTTATACTGTTTGACCTCCTGCAGAAGGATCTGAGCGTTCTCCTGGGTAACGTTTGGAGGAGAACCGTCACTGTGACTCTCACACATGTTCACAGATCAGGTTCAGCTGAGGGCGCTCTCCTCTCACTGATCTGGTGTCAGATTTTATGGTTGGACAGCGATGGAGGGGGGGGAGGGTGAAGCTGCTCTGCTGACTCTGAGGACAAGCGTAACCACAGCAGCCGTTAGCAGCGGCTGGGCGTCGCCCGGCTGGGCAAGCTGATAAACAGCAGAGGGGAGGGGGAGGAAGGGAGGAGGACAACGAGATGAAAGGAGGTGGTGGGGGACGGTCAGAGGAAGGATGGAGGATATCCTCCCCCAACTCTCATGTTGTTTAGGTAGAAGGTGTGCCCCCTCCCCTCTGACAGCCTCGCTGTGACTCTCCAGCAGTCGTCCGTCCTCAGCAGCTCCAAACACCGTCTGAGCCGTGAGTAACACCTTTAACGCTGAACGCTCGTCATCAGGACGCTGTCACACATCCTCACAAAGCTGCAGCACCTTCATATACACTCGAGCTCGTTTATCACTGTCAGACTTTCAGCATCAACACAAAGATTCAGATATTCACTTTACTGTATCTTGAAGTCACCGCGGCAACCCGAACAGCACCACAAGTCTGCGTCTTCTTCCTGAAACTCTTCGCAGCCAATCAGAGAGCTTACTGGAGACAGCAAACTGAGAAATGTAAGTCAAAAAAATAAACATCACAAAAGCATGAAACAATCATTTCTGCTACATAACTTTGCACTTTTGCTGTAACAAAACAAATTTCCCACCTGTGGGACTAATAAAGGTCATCTTATCTTATCTAATAACATTAAGAGAAACAGTAAAAATAAAACAGAATAAAAACAAAGGAAAAACAAACAGAAACTGCATTTTAAATTAGTTTTGAAAATGTTTTCCAAAAACTTCAACAAAAGCCTCTTAAAGGTTTAAAGACTTTTGATTTTAAAAAAAAAACAACAACAAATAAAGAAATAAAGAAATAAAATAAAGAAATTAAGAAATAAAGAAATTAAATAAAGAACTAAAAACTACAAAAAATTTTAAAAAATGCAGCCAAAACTCTGAAAAACAAAAAAAATAAAATAAAATAAAATGAAAATCATCTCAAAACTCTGCTGATCGATGTCAATGGTAAAGGAAACAAAGGATATGAAACAAAGTCCCCAGAATGCCTCGATGCTTCTTCCTGCATCCTTCCTCCTGTTCTGTTTCCTTCTCTCTGTTTCTTCCTGGATGTTTCTAGTGGTTTCAGGAAGGAAACGAGTTGACATCATGTCTGAGGCTGTGCTGTGAGAGAAATTGCTCTTCCTCTGATTCTGGATCAGATGAGTCGAGCTCGTTCGTTGGAGCAGCTGATGCGTTCACTAACCCTCTCTCTGTTTTTCCTCTGCAGCTGCTTAAATCAGGTCGGAGCGACTTCCGTGTCCACAGCTATGCAGAAGGTAATGAGTCACTGCTGGAGCTTAATCATCACCACACTTACACCTAAAATATTGCTGCACAATGAGGTTCACACTGAGACTTCAGCTCAGTGAGCAGTCTGTCACTCTGAAAGTTCATTTACACCTTAAAGTGGATGTACTGTCACTGCAGCAGCTTTGCATGATTCACAGCTCAAAATAATCCTTCATGACCATCATCTGTCTGAAACAAGCTGTTGTTGCTGTCGAGTCAGATCTTCTTCTCCTTCTGGTTTGTTTGTGGTTTTCACCTGCTCTTTGAGCTGGTGCCAATAAACTGGACTGTTTTCACTTCCTGATTGTCTCTTCTGATTGGCTGTTTGGCAGGTGGAGGGACGGGTAACTCCGGTCAACCTGCCGTCCTCGAGGGGCCCGAGCACCCCGGGGTCTCCGGCGACGGGCATTGTGGTAATGTCACACCTGCTCAGACGTTCAGATGTTTATTTACTCGTTTCATCCATGGAAACATCATTTTAACACATTTACTTTATTTTACTGACATTTTCTACTTTTAGTAAACTTACTTTTTGTAAAAACCTCTGCAAAATGCAGACTTTCACCACAAGGTGGCAGCGTTTACTGTCAAAGTTCTGCATGTACGATTTTTTTGTTTGTTGAAATTTGAGCTCTGATCAGATGATTTTAGTTCTTTTAGTTCTTCTTTTATTTTTATGTTGAATGTTGAATTTTTATGTTGAGCTGTTAACCAGTTGTAATCCTACCCAGTGAAATTAAACACTTTTATACATGGAGTACTTGTATTTGTATCTTTAAGTAATCTTTGTGATGATACTTGGAGTGCTCTTGGTAAATAAAGAACTTCCTCTGTCAGGCCCGTGTCAATGACCAGGTGGTGGGCTACAGAGACCTGGCGGCACTGCCCAGAGATAAAGCCATCCTGCAGGTGGAGAGACCGGACCTGATGACCTACCAACCCCACCTGAGCTTCTCCCCGCTCGACCCGCCACGCAGAGAGGTGCGGGTTTGGATTCTTTAGTAGTTAAGGAACATTACTGCTTCACTTTTCAACCCTGAAATTGAAATATTTGACTTAAACACTGCTGCTAGTCCATTTGTCAAGTGAGCTGACCTCTGACCCTGACTGACAGCACTGATACAGCAGCGTTCAGGGACAGCCGACAAAATCAGAACAGACAGTTTCCATTTCAGCTTCTCCTGCCAATTTAACACTTTTCTCATAAATATTATTTATAAAAAATTATTTATAAAAAAACTGGAGTCACATCACTTCCTGTTTCCCCTCGATGGCGCTGATATGCTGTCATTAAAATCCTGACATCATATTTAAAGTCAGAGGAAAGGAATAATCTGGAATAATCCTTAAAGGAAGATCAGATGAAACTTTTACTTTTTAATGATCATATTTCATAGATATGCTTTAAGTTTTTTGATTTTAACTTTAATTTTCTTCATACTATACAGGGTTTTTTCTATATTATTGAGTGCACATTTATTAAAAGAATATCAGCTGAAAAAATCTGTGTGTGTGTGTGTGTGTGTGTGTGTGTTAACAGGTCATTACTGACACTAATGTAATCCTGAGGCGTGTTTGATGCCTGCAGCTGTTGGACTTTATTAAATTCCTGCAGCATCTATGATGACTGTTCATATCTGTGTTCTCTGCAGAGATCTCTGTCTCCTCCATCCACGTCTCCAGCCTTGTCTCCAACCATGTCTCCAACCATGTCTCCTGAGGTAAGCCCTCATCAGTCCATGCTGGTGGTAATAACCCAGCTCCATTATTCATTTCCATCCCGGTTTCTTCTACACCTTCAGGCCACCGGGATATAAACTGTTTTTAATGAAGTGGCAGTGCTTACATTTTCCACTTGTTCATTCAGGCCAGGCTTTTCTTTAATGCTCTGGTCCGGTGACCTGGAGTCTGGAACAAAGCCCTGCCCACGAGTTAACCTGACCCTGTGACACTGAGTAGACCTGCATCTGTGGTCGATAAGACTCAAATACAAGCTTTGATTGGTGGTTCATTTCTTGGTGCCACAGCATTCGTTGACCTTTCTGAAACCTCAAGTGGTTCGCGACCTCGGCTTTTTAGGAAAACAGTGGTTTGTACTTGTTCTCGTCCAGCTTTTAATCGCAGCTTTGTCTTCACCGCAGTGTTGAAACCGTGACACTCGCTAGCCGGGGAACAGAAGGACCTCTGTTCAGACGGCTGGAAACTCCCCTCAGTCAGAGCGCGAAGGGCAAAACAAAATAGGAGCTCCGTTTCTGTCCAGATTTAAAGGACGGGACATCTGTGCAGAAATCACTCAGTTTGGGTCCTTTTTTAACTTTAATTAAGATTTACAGCACAAACATGTTCCACAGGTCCAGTTGGTCAAAAGTGAAATCGTGTTGTTTAAAGGAAAAACAGGATTACATGTTCGGATAAGATCAAGTAATCCAGTCCAGCTTTTTTATCTGGATTAAACCTTCAGTTTGTGTTGTTCAAAACACTGGAACAGGATCAGGATGACTTCCAAAATATCAGGATTACCCTGATCCCAGGCCGGATGCAAAATTAAGAAAAAAAAATGTAATAAAGAAAAGTTATTCCACGAAGAAAACTAGAACTGATAAACTTAAGACAATAAAAAACTTGCACCTGGACTACAGTTTTCAAACTTTGTCCTATACTTGCATTAAAATACTTGTTTTGTAAGTTTATTTATGATGCATTGCATGTCATACATGCAATATGTTTATATTTAGGACTTTAATTTTTATTCATACAGAAAACAATTATATAAAAAAGTGTGAGCTGGGAAGTAAAGTCACGACATTGGTTTAAAAAAAGGTTTTGAGTTAAGAATGATAAATACAATCATAGTAGATGACAAATAAATTATTAAAACTTAAAGCAAATCCAGCTCATTAAATCACATTGGAAGATTTTTAAATAGTCTTTCTTTTTACCTTCTTTGAAATTATTTAAATGTTATGACTTAAGGACATCGTCCACAGTGTTTCTGTAAATGATGATGATTTGTTGTCAGGTCAGTGAAGAAGCAAAAACAATGAAAATTAACAAATTTAATATAATTATTTAAAGTTCCTTTATTTTGAGTGAATTTCAGTGCCCCCTGCACCCCAATTAAATTAAAAGTTTATACGGGATCAGAATGAACCTGTCCAGTTTTTGTGTGAACAAGAACATGAGCTGGACGAGCTGGATTACATCATCCACCAAAGGAAAACACCTTTAAAAAGGAACACTACAGCCACCTGTCAGCCAAAGAGGCCACGCAGCAGCTTTGTTTTATGGGCCTCTTTGATTTAGACAAAGTTCTCACGGTCAATCGCGTGACCCATGCTGACGTTCTGACTCACTGATTGGTCTGAGCTCACCTGTCAGGCTGTTAAAGGTTAAAAGACTCTGTTTGCTTCCAGGTGAAGGGGCGCAGGGCAGAAAGTGAGAGCGGTTCTCCTGGAGGATCCACGCTGCAGCTGCAGGCTGGACGCAAGATCAGTACGAGCCTGCAGCATTTCCACCGACCAGGTAACACACACACACACACCTGAGGGCTGTCAGGACTCATTAACCCTAAAACCTTTCTCAACCCTGAAGGCAAAGCGGCCATGTGTCTGAGTTTGTGCGCTCAAATCAAATCACTTTTACTGTCACATCACATGTGCAGGTACTAATTCTTGTGTGCGAGCTTCACAAGCAACAGAGGTGTGCAAAAATACAATAACATAAGAACAAGCAAAATATAAGAATGGGTAAACCAGAGTTATATGAATAAATATATGTACAATAT